GGAAACCATCCAATGCCCTTCAATGAATGCTCTTGGAAAGACTGTGGGATGTCCTTTCCATGGCACACTGGAGGAAAAAGGAATGAACATTGATGCACTCAGTGTAGACAGATCTCTAGGGATGCAGCTGAGGGACAAAAGCCTCCTGAGGGACATGCTGCATGGTACGTTTTGCAGAACATTTACTAAATAACATAATTATAGAGATGGAGAACAGATCAGTAGTTGCCATGGGTCAGGGTGGAGTAGGAGTGGCTCTATGGGGCAGTGTGAACAAGTCTGTAGATACAGTATCACGATCCTGTGATGGTCACGTTAAGCTGCAGGGGATGAAATTGCATAAAGCTATGTGTGTACACACACACACACACACACAGGAGTGCACATACAGCTGGAGGAATCTGAATGATGTCTATGGATTGTAGCAATGTGAACCTCCCAATTTCAATATTGTGTGTTGTTATGCGATGTTAGCCTTGGGGAAGGCTGAGTGAATGGTGTGTAAGACCTGCTTATACACTTTTTTGCAACTGCTTTGAATCTATAATTATTTCACAATAAAGAGGTAAAAAGAAAGGGAAGCCAAAGATTAGAGGGCGAAAAAAGTCTAAATAGGATTGTATATCCAAAATATACAAAGAACTCTTAGATTCAATAGCATAGACACAGCAAAATGGGCAAAAGATTTGGCAGACATTTCTGAAAAGAACACAATCAGAAGACCAAAAAGCATGTGAAATGATGCTCAGTATTATGCTCAGGGAAATGAAAATTAAACCTGCAGTAAGATACCTCTCATGAATCTATTAGAACGCTAACATTTCAGTGATGGACAGAGGCATGTGTTAAAGAAAGCGTGGAGCCTGTGGCACAGGAACACACTGCAGGGCGGTGGGAGTGCTGGCAGAGAGCAGTAGGCCCCATTTGGGGAGCTTCTTCTTAAGTTAAACACTTAGTTACCGTAAGACCCAACTGTGGTTGCTAGTTTGTAGGTAGTTACTCAAGAGCAATGAACATGACGGCAGCATACAGACCTAGCCACAGCAGCTGGAAGTACAATTTGCTTGAACCAGAAAGAGCTCAAATATCTAGCAACAGGCAAAGGGATACACGGGCTCCAGTGTACCCTTCCACTGGATCCTTCTTAGCAGTAAAAGGCATGAAGTATGGGTACAGGCAGCCCCAGGGGGAGGCTTCAGAGCCGTTTTGCAGAGTCAGAGAAGCCCAGGGCACCCACGGGATAGCATGGTGTGATGTTCTGCCGCAGACAAAGCTAGCTCAGTGAAGGGCTGCCTGGCTGCCAGGGGCCGGGCAAGGGCAGGTGAGCCAAGGGGCAGGGGGAGTTTCAGGGTGATTGAAACGCTTGGCTCCTTGCCACTGTGGGGTCCCAGGCTGCCTAGTTGAACATGCAGAGTGGATGGGTTTTATTTATGGTCAGTGAATTATATCTTAATATGGCTCAGTACAAGTCCCCTTCCTCTGATGCCAGGTCCTGCTCATTTACAACCCCAATGGTCCCACTTGGCCAAATGGTCACCCTACACTTACAGAATGAAATCCTCCAGTGAAAGCACTTTCCTCTTGCCTCCTTTGGGCCCCTAGGGACAACCCACAGGCCCAGCAAGCCTTCTCTTAGGGCACTCCCCCACGGGGCCACCCTTCCCTACTGCTCTGTCCACACCTACTTTTCCCTTATAGTCTCTGGTGTAGGCACTTCCTCCTTTAGGAAGCTCAGCCTGATTACCCAGGTTGAGTGGGCCTCCTGTGGGTCCCTTGGTGTCCTTGTGGTGTCACAGTGCTGACCTGCTCTTTTGTCCCTCCCTCCCCGGGATTTCTTCTGTCCCTGTGGCCTTTGCAGGGCTGGTCCTGAAAGATGCAAGGGCTTCTGCTCCATGTAGGACAGAAGCCTGTGTCTAATCTCCCAGTGGCTGTACCTCTGTTTGGAAAGGCAAGACTGATAGGTGGGGTGGGCCTGGCATGCGGGCTCAGGGTTTATTCGTTAAAAGGTTTTATGAAAGCATGCTAAATGGGCCGTGCATTGAGAGAGCAAGTCCCTCTCTGGTGGAAATTACTCAGCCATTTGGTTTTTATTTTTGCAAATGCGGTTCAGCTCTTTTGAACACTCACTTGGTACGCCTTCCCTGCCAAAGCAACAGGAAGATATGCTTTGAATTCTCCGTAAAACCCCCAAGTAAACCCCAGGCTTATGGGTAATTTCAGCAGAGCACAGCTCCACTCGAGCCTTCCCAAAGCTCCCTCCCTGACTACTGACTACTGCTGGGAAACATGCTGCCCAGGGGCCTGGCCCGCCCCCTGGGCCCACCCCCAAGGCTTTAAGGGTCAAAGATGTGTCAGCTGGACCCCCACCCCAGACAGAGAGGTGAGGTATCTGGGAGGAGAGGGAGCAGCTATCTTCCCTGGTCCCTGCCGTCCGGGTGTGCTGCCTCCCTCATCAGCATATACTGAGTCTAAGAGCCGACCCTGCATCCAGTCCCAGGGAGCCTGCCTGACTTGCCTCGGGTCTGAGCACATACCACCAGGCTCTGCTCTCCAATGGTGCCCAGCCTGCAGCCCCACGCCTGACGCCTGCTGGCCCACCAGGCTGGGCCTGCCCTTTCCTGCCACACCAGCTGTCCTCAGCTTGCAGGACACTTGGTGCTCCCATGACTCAGCCCTGGATACTTTGGTGGGACTTCCAAGTCAGAGTCCGCATTCACCCACTTAGCCCAGTGGGGGCAGAGAGAGGCCAGGAGGAGCAGAGGGGGTCGCTAGGGGCCACCGGACAGAGGCTCCTCTCCAGGCAGAGGATGCTGACCTGCATGGCCCCCACCCAGTCTTCCAGAGCCCACACTGCCACTGTCTCGGCAGGCCTGATGTCCCTGGACATGGCATCAGGTCCCAAGTAGAAACCAGGAAAGCAGCAAGAGAGCTTGCTCCCTTGGGGACCTGGAGAAGCGTGGATGGCTGGTGTACATGCTGGGTAGGCGCGGGGCCCACTGTATGCATGTGAAGAGGCAGGGGGTGAGCGAGCGTGGGGTGACACGGCCCCGGGAGCTGCCTGCGCACACCCTGATGAGTGGGACCTTGGCCAGAGGAGGGGGTGTGGCCATGCTATGCACTCATCCCTTCACTGGCTGCCAGTTTGGCAGGAGTCCCAGTGCCCCAGGTTGGTGAGGGTTCACAGAGACATGTGCAACCACATGGGCCCCTGCTAGGAAGCTAGCCAAGTAGGAGATGGTGGGGTGGGCAATGAGGTGCTCTAGGCAGAGGACCACACAAAGGCCCAGGTGTGACATGATGGCTGTGTGGGTGGGGACTGTGTGTGGCCCAGGCAGAGGCCTCTAAACTGGTCCATCTCCCCGTGGCCTACAAGCCAGTCGACCCTGGGGGCCCCTGGTCAGCCCCCACCTGCCCAGGGCTGCCTCCCCTGCTCCCTGGTGGGTGATGGGCCTCTGTCCTCCTGGACACCTTCCTGCATCCCTGCTGAGCTCCCACAGGAAGATGTACCTCTCAGAGCCAGTGGGGTCTGCAGCTGGCTAGCAGGAGGCTTCAGGGACTGGTCCTTGCAGACAGAAGGGAGTTGTCAGCATGGAGGCTGCCAGGGTCACAAATGGACTAGGCCAGGGGCTGCCCAGATAGCCCTTGACCTCCTTGTGCCTCAGTTTCCCCATCTATGGAAAGGTGGGGGCTGTTCTCGATCTTGCAGGGCCATGGTGGGTGTTAAGTAGAATAATGTGGGCGAAACTCTCAGCAACTCTGGATACTAGTGACTGTGTGTTATTGCCACAGTTGTTAATTCCAGAAATATCTGTGTCTCCTGCCTCTTGGGCTGGCCAGGGCACAGCCTACATAAGCGCTGGTCTCATGGCTCCCAGGCTGAGGTGCAGGGCGCACCCCAACTCTGAGCTCAGACTCTGACCTTCCTGGTGGCACTGGGAAAGCCCCCTCCCCAAGAGCTCTGGGGTGACTCCACTGTGGGGAACCCCATCACCTCAGTATTGTAAATGTCGCTAGGCAGCTGTGCTGGGGAGGAGTGGCTGATCTACTGGCCGCCTGAAGGGGCTGAACAGCCCGTGTCCCTCACCTTGGCCAACAGTGGCCCTCTCATCCGTCACATGGGTTTCCTGGTGGCCACAGAGGCAGCAGGCCTGCTCTAATTGTCCCTTGTCCCGTGGAGGAGGCGGAGGCCCAGAGAGAGGGTGCCCCAAGACGAGGGAGTGAAGGCCGCAGTGCCTGGGAGAGCCCCGAAAATGCCAGGAGCATGCAGGCAGTGAGGCTGACACGGTGGGAGCCCAAAGAGGTGTGTGCTTTCCAGCAAGCCTTCTGCAGTGCCTGCAGTCCTCAAAGTCAGTCTTCCCACCTAAGGGGGCTGGGGCATCACCGTCTGGTTATTGCTGGCTCAGGGCTGCTCCCAAGGGGCACTTCACTATGGCGTGTCCCCCACCTTCCGGGGGCAGAGGCTCTGCACAGGGGCCCGGGTTGGGTGGGAGTGGCTGAGGGGTGGGCAGGTGTCAGTGTCTGTGCTGGGATGCAGGGCCCCTGTCCAGGACTCTGGCGTCTGGCTCCCCACTATGTCTCTGTGCCTGTGCTTGACCTGGCCCAGAAAGGGTGTCCATGTGTTCAAGTGGGGCCTGAACTGGAAGACTCGAATGGCTGGGACTTCTCGAACCATCCAGGAGCTTTTCATTGCAGGCCCTACACATCCAAGGGGAGACCCCCTCCTGGATGGAACACGAGAGGGTGTGAAGCCACACTGACAGCACTTCTGGTGCCATCCCACCCCACCTGCTCACATGCTGCTGCCTGCAGCTTCCCTCCCTGGCCCCCACCCCTTCTGTAAACAACCAAACAACCAAACTCCACTGTCCCATGGAAACCTTCATCCTGCCCCTGAACCTTCCTTGAGCTCCAGCCACAGGGAGAAGGTAGGTGTGGCCTGCTTGCTGGAGTGCGCGGTCAGGGCCCCAGATGCAGGGAGGCGGCACACACTTGCCAGCCTCGCAGAGCCTGTGGTGAGAAGAGCGCATGGCTGAGGGGCCAAGGGGTGCTGTTTCCTGCTGGTGGGGCAGGAGCAGAGAGGAAGGCCGCTCTGAGGAGGCGGGGGGAGGAGGCACGAGGTGGGTACAGGCCGGGGCGGGCAAGGGCCCTCTGTGTGCATGCGCTGTGGGACCTCATGCAAAGGCTCTGTGGTGCCGCTGAACCGAGTGTCTGGGGGACGGAGAGGGTGCGGCTCCTGACCCGTCCTAGGTCCTGGCTAATTGCAAGGGGGAAAGGGGTTGGAGGGGTTAATGGCCGTCCCTGAGGCCATCTCAAACCCAGTTGTCCCTCTCTCTGCACCCCAGGCCACAGGTGAGGTCTGCAGGGCTGGCCCCACAGGGACGTGGGCCAGCCAATGCCAAGGCCAGTCTGAGGCCCCCGCCCTCTGCTCCTGATGACCGGCGTGGAGCCAAAGGCCCCGGGCTCGGCCTTGCCCATCAGGGAAATGCCACATTGCTCTGGAATGAGGTGATTCTGAGCAGCGATGGGAGGAAATGGGTATTTATGTAACGGTGGGCATGGTTTTTATTTTCCCTAATTTTCAGATTACTTTCGATTAGTCCTCACTGGAGGAGAAAAGGCTTGAAGTGAAATAGATCTAGCCTAAATCATTACGGGCCGCCCAGCCTCAGGCCGCCTTTGTGGACAATTGCCCCGGACCCAGGGTTAGGGGGCGAAGCCTGGCCGGGGCACTTCCTCCGCGCCCACGGGCCGGGAGAGCGCAGGGCTCTCGGCACCGGCCCTCCGCGCTCCTGCCGACACACAGCGGCCATTCATTCCTCCACCCCTCCGGCCGGAGGGGCCCGGGGGAGGGAGGGGGAGAGCGGTTCTCGCCGACATCTGGACTCTATCTCCTCTCCCCGCCCCCAACCCGGCACAGGGAGGGGGGTGGGGGAGGGGAAAAGGGAGAAAATGCTCAGACCGAATTCAGATGCTTTCATGAATTTTACACCAGAAATGTTTTGACATGAATATTCTTGCTAGTCTCCAGCATTTGCCAAAAGAAATTCAACTCCGCAGGACTGCTCGGATATGTTCCCTAGATGACTGTAGAGGCGCGGGGAGGCCTGGAGGCCGGGACCCGGCACCTGCGAGGCACGCGGGGCGCGGCCTGGGGAAGCGGGGGGTGGGGGCACTGGAGCCCTGGGCCTGAGGGCAGTGCCCTTGCAGAGCTCTCTGCCATCTGGGAGGCCTGGTGTGGTACCCCGAGGCCAGGGGGCGCGCTTCCTCCCATCCTCCCGCGGGACAGGTCCATCACGGGGTCCAGCTAGTGAGGCCGGGCAGCCCTGAAGCTGTTAGATGGGAGCCGGAGCCAGAGGGTTGGGGCAGTGTACAGACACCGCCGGAAGGAGCTGCACACGCACAGGAGCAGCGAGTTGCTTTTGCAGAGCTGAATAAAGTCACTTCTGGTTCTTTTTTTCTTGACTATATTTGTTCCACTTTCCTATACTCAATATGAATTACTAAAAATGTCCTTTAAAAAGTATTTATCTCTCTTCCTCAAAAAATTAAAAACAGAATTATCATATGATGCAATAATCCCACTTCTGAGTATTTACCCAAAAGAGCTGAAAGCAGGGTGTGGAGGAGACATCTGCGCACCTGGGTTCATAGCAGCTTTATTCCAGTCCCGGAAACATGGAGGTGGCCCGTGTGCACCAGAGATGGGGGGATAAACACAGTGTGGCCCCTCCACACAACGCAGTATCATTTAGCCTTAAAAAAGGGGGAATCCTGAGGCCTGCTGTGGCACGCATGAACCTGGAGGACGTTGGGCTCACGGAGATAAGCCAGTCACCAAGGACAGACTGCACGACACCACTCACATGAGTGCCTAGGAGTGGTGGGTCCATAGAGACGGGCCTGGGGGTGGGGGGTGGGGGGCGTGAGGCAGTTTGGGTTTTGCAGGCTGTAAGTTCTGGAGATGGATGGTAGGGATGTTTACACAACAGTGTGTATGTACCAGTGCTATTCAACTCACTTAAAGATGGTTAAAATGGTACTTTTATGTTACGTGTGTTTTACCACCACAAAGAAAAATGTGACAGACAAGTGTCCCCCTCCTCACCATATCAGTTGTCCCCTCTGCTGCATCCCCTGGGCTCTGTGGTCTCAGTGGAATGTGGCTGCTACACTTGCTGGCCCTGTGGTCTTGGTGTTCTAATCTATACATTGGGGTGCTGCCTCTCCCCAGCACGAGGTTATGGGAGAGGTGATTGTGGCCCAGCAGGTGTGAGGCAGTGGTGTAGGGGGCTCGGGGTGCCGTGCTGGGTGGACACCTCTGAGGTTGGCCTAGTTTCCAGGACTTGGTTCCTCTGCAGATTCCCAAGACACTGGGAACTTAAAGAAGGGGCCGAGGGCAGCAGAACCCCAGCAGGCTTCTGACCTGGAGGCAGAGGGAGCACACTGCAGCCTGGGCACAGTCCCGGCAGGCAGATACGGCCCCCGCCTGCCTGGGGCTGCCGTGAGGATAGTAGCGCAGTGGTCTCTGTCACACGGAGGTGCCTGTGCCTGGCGGTGAGTGTTAGGCCATGACTTGCTGCAATGCCCAACATGTGCACATAGGCAAGAATGTTGGCTGGAATCATTTTTATCTGAAAAACAGGGTTCTGTGCTCCCATTCATTGTTTTTCCACCTGTGCCTGTCCCGTGGGCCTAGAGATAGGGCAGCCAGCCCTTCCTGGGGGACAGCAGGCCAGGAGGTCGGACAGTCCCAGCAGAAAGGTCAAATGTCCCTGGACAGGAGTGACTGGGCAAGAGGTTGGAGTGAGGCCACTGAGAGCAGGTCTGGGGCCACCTGGGGGCAAGGCTCCAGAGAGGCACCATCTCAGAGAGGAGGAAGGGCCAGCAGAGATGGGCAGTGTGGGCAACAGGGCAGTGGGGACGGCGAGGCGGCATGGGCCATGGGCGGTGGCGACGTCCGGTCCCTGCAGCCCCCAGTGGACCTGGCTTTGGTTCTGGGCTTCTGCTCTCCAGCACCTCTCAGATGGTCCTGCATACTCGTGTTCCTGGCTTGCAGGCCCAGGACACAGCCTGGGCCATGTCTACCTGCACACAAGGTCTGTGTGGTCTGCATTGGTCTACATGCTGGTTAAAATGGCATAATGTCAGTTGCCAACATTTACAGCTCAGGAGATGTGGTTGGCTGGGACTTCCTCCCTCTGAAGAATGTGTTTAGTTTGAGCTTCAAGCCTGGTAAGGCCAAGCAGGTGGCTCCCACCAATGAGTGGGCAGAGGTGACATGTCTCTTCTGGGACTGAACATTTAGCTGTAGGGAGTTGGTGCCCAGAGCTCTCTCCTTGGTAGGGAGACACCTGGGACAGAGGCTTCCCTCCTGCGGGCACTGAGTCAGGCCAGTCCCCATAACTGCCCCCACAAGACACCTAAGACATAAACCACAGTAAATGATAATGGTGACGAGGGGCCTGCAGCCTATGTGGGACACAGAGCTTGAATGAGCAAGAAAAAATGTCTTTCAGCCACTTAGATGTGGGCTTGTTTGTTACTGCGGCAGAAGTGAGACAATCTTGACTGTTGCAGACATTTCACATTAAGTATCTGGATCTCTGGATTTTTTAGAAAAAACTGGGAGCTCTGGCTATATGAGCCCAAACCCCCACATGGCAACCAGTGGCAGCTTTCTCTAGGGCAGGCTGCTCCACTTCACCTCAGTTTCTCCTGGTGCATGCACTCACTCATGCTGCTGCTCTGGCACTCCCTCCTGCTTCCTCTAGGCCTCCAGGGGAACTCAGGGAACTCTGCTCCAGGGACACACTGAGACAGCCACCCTGCTGTGTGAGGGCTGCTGTTCTCTAGGGCTGTTCGCACCCAGTGCTCTGCAGCTTCAGGCAGTAGGTATCCATGTGCATTTGCTAACTAACAAAACCCTCCCCTCAAGGAAAGGTATAACCAAAAGCTGGGAGCTGCCCCCACATGGGCTTAGAATAAGAGGTTCAGAGAGGGGAGGTGAGCTGATCACACAGCTATCAGGGGGAGGATGCGATTAGCCGGAAGCCAATGCTCCCATTCGCTCATAGGATTTCCTTGTGCGGCTTCCCAAGGGAACTCAGGCTCTCCTGCTTCTCCACCTGCTTTCCTCAGAGGTCATCAGGCTTCCCAAGGTCTCCAAAAGATACTTAGTTTTAATCATTTCCAGAGGAGAAATCATCTCTGTATGCTGCCACCAAGTGGCTGCTTTTCAAGTTACAAGTCCCCTGCCTTCCCTCATGGTTGTTCACTCTTACCTTGGGAAGCCTACTTCACTACACTTCCATCTTAACATTTTTGGAAGGAAAATATATTAAACCAAGATACTGTACCTCTCTCAGGGTACCCATATCAAGCATACTGAATAAATTGGGCCATCATAAATCTCCCCCAAGTGAGTCATTTGGTCTATGCATCATAGTGACTTGAGTCAGAAATGATGAGGAAAACCAAGCACAGAGGTGTATGCTGTACCAAAGACACAGTGAGTTGGGGGCAAAGACTGGAGCTAGACCTTCTGCTTCCAAACCCAGCATTTCTCCAGTCTCTGGCCTGGTGAATTCTCCTTTCTAGTCCTAGAAAATGGGAGAAAAGATTCAGGTGGACCTGGTTTCCATTCTAGACTCTCCATGTGTCATACTAGAAGACCTGTACCTCTCAGCCTGGGATTCTGTGTCTGTAACACGGGGTAGGTGCACCCCATCTGTGCTACAGGGGGATCAGCTTCGGCTGGGTGAAGTTCATACAGGTTAGTCATGACTCGTCACTCACAGCCCTGGCTGGTTTCTAGAGCTACCCCTTTTAGAAGTAGAGTCCCTTTGAGAAATGCTAGGATTCCCATCTGGAAAAAGAATGAGATTTCCCCTTTATCTGAAGAATTAAGACTGTGAAAATAAGAGAAACGTCCCCACTCCTTCAACTTCCTTCTTTGGGGATTTAAAAACTCTCCTCTGTTTACTCTGGAAGTGAACCAGCCTAGCCTAAAAGGACGACTCGTGTGTAGTCTGGGTGGAGACAGGCAGAAGTGCGACCACAGGGTGACAAGCCAGGCTGGAGCCAGGCTGGTAGGCACTGAGTGGCCTCCCTCCTTCCTCCCTTTCCTCCCTTTTTCTGATTTGTTTTTATTGTAGCAAAATATACATGATATAAAACTTAACCATTTTAACCATTTTTAAATGGTGATTCAGTGATGGCACTAAGTACAGTCACAATGTTGTGTTAACCGTCACCACTACACCTCCCACAACTTTTCCATCATCCCACACAGAAACACTATAACCTTCAAACGGTTACTCTTCGTTCCCCTCTCCACCAGGTGGGGAGCTTGGGCCTGTAATCACCGTTCTGCTCTCTATCTGGACTGGCCTATTCTAGGAACTTCATACACGTAGAATCATACATTATGTGCCCTGTTGTGTCTGGCTTATCTAACGGGGCTTAATATTTTCAAGGTTCATCCATGTTGTAGCAGGTGTCAGAATTGGTCCCTTTTTAGTGGCTGGGTAAGACTCCATTGTATGCATATATCACATTTTGCTTATCCATTCATCTCTTGGTGGACACTTGGGTTTTTCCACCTTTTTGGCTTTTGTGAATAATAAGCATGGTGTACAAGTATCTGAGTCTTTGCTTTGAATTCTTTTAGGTATAGACTTAGAAGTGAGTTTGCTAGATCATATGGCAATTCTATGTTTAACTTCTGAGGAACCAACATGCTACTTTCCACAGCAGCTAGATCATTTCACATTCCCATCAGTAATGTGTGAGGGTTCCAATTTCTTCACATGCTCACCAACACCTGTTATTTTCCATTAAAAAAAGTAATAGCTATCCCAACATGTACGAGGTGGTATCAAATTATGGTTTTGACTTGCATTAACCTAATGACTAATGATGTTGAGCATATTTTCATGTGCTTGTTGGCCATTTGCATATCTTTGAAAAATATATCCAATCCTCTGTCCATTTTTTGAATTGGATTGTTTGATATTTGTTGTTGAGTGATTGGAGTTCTTTATATACTTTGGCTATTAATCCCAAATTAAGTACATGATTTACAAAAATTTCTTCCCATTCTGTGGGTTGTCTTTTCACTCTCCTTTCATATACAAACCTTTTTCATTTTGATGAATCCAGTTTATCTATTTTTTGGTTTATTGCCTGTACTTTTGGTGTCATAGCCAAGAAATCATTGCCAAATCCAATCTCATGAAGATTATCCCCTATGTTTTTCTACAAGAGTTTTACAGTTTTAGCTCTTATGTTTAATTTTTGTATATGTATGGGATAAAGGAATGGTCCTACTTCATTCTTCTGCATGGGGAGATCCAATATTCTTGGCACCATGTGTTGAAAACCTCTTTTCCCCATTGAATAATCTTGACTCCCTTGTTGAAAATAATTTGACCATATATATGATGGTTTATTTCTA